TCTATTATGTTTTGTGTTTAATAGCATTTTGTGGTAGAAATGAGATTAAAAAACACCTTTTTCTTGCTAAGGCTAATTTTATGGCTTGCATATTGTGCATCCTAAATACACACAATTAAACAATGTGTTCATGATTTTTGCATAATTTGATAAAACAGCAGCTTGAATAGAATATGACAAGTGATATTTACCTTGATTTTGATCTAAAGCATGCTGTTCACTGACGTTGTTTGCAAGTAAACATTAGAACTTTTGAAAAAACTTTATTAGCAGTAAAACTGTTGACCGTGATGAAATCAATTTCACACTTGAGAGCTCATAATTTGTTTTAATGTACACACACAATCAAAAAATATTGAAATGATTTATGATGATTTCACTCTTTGTAAAGATTATTAAAAATTATTTTACATTTTTTATGATGGATTTTCTGAATCTGCTAACAAACTTGGTTTGGGCCTAGAGTAAAACAAAAAAAAAATCTCTCTATAAAATGTACTTGAAAAGTAGGAAAATTAAAAGACGAAGGCAAAAAGTTTTGATGTTTTAATTTGACCTTAATATAACAAAGAGAAAACAATGAAATCTGTTATTTTGAACAGAAATCAAATGTATCAGAAGTTAAAGACTCACCTTTTTATAATTGTTTGTCATGAATGTATCTTTTCTATATGGAAACCTGTTTTTTTTTTAACAAACTCAGTATTGTGAGATATAATGTCTGAATTTAGATTTTTTTTTACTGACATTTTGAATTTTTTTCTTACAATTCCGAGTTTTACATCTTACAATTTTGACCTTTTTCTCAGAATTCTAAGTTTACTGTACATCCCGCAATGGAATTTTTTTCTATCAGTTCTGAGATTACATCATGCAATTCTGACTTTTTTTTCACAGAATTCTGAGTTTACAACTCAAAATGATGTTCTTTTGTTTCTGTGATGCCACAGAATTTCACAGATAAGAGCTCACAATTCTGAGAACAGAGTCAGAATTGTGAGTTTGTATCTAGCAATTCTGAGCTTACTGTATATCTTGCAATTCTGTCAGGACCATTATCGTCAAAGATGATTGACAATTAGCATACAGTTTGGATTGGCGGTATGGTTCTGTTCTGGGCAAGAACTCCCTGCACATCCATGCAGCCTAGCATGGATGAGAGCAGGGAGAGCAGCGATAACCCAGAAGGCTGAACCCTGACTGACAGAGGAGGAGTTGGGGATGGAGGAGGGTAATTAGCTATTGAGCAATGCGAAAACTGCTGATAATACTGAGGGACCTTATATATGAATGCTTAGATAGGTGTCGTATTCCCATAGGTTGATGGGGATCAGCTGAGAGTCAGCTGATGCGAGCTTGACTAACGTGACCTGCCAGAACTAACGCTACGCTTGATTTCTGTCTTTATATCTCACAATTCTGACTCAGAATTACCACTTGTGAGATATAAACTCAGAATTGTGAGAAAAAAGTTTGAATTGTGAGATTAAAAGTCACATTTACCTTTAATTTTTAATCCCGTTGTGAAAACATGCTTCTATATTCGCAAGCATGCAAAAATACAAATGTAATTTGACACGCACAAAAAAAACACAATCTAATGAAGTAGTCATCAAAATACTACTTCTGACATCTTGTAGTCGACCCTCAAAGTCGCTTTCCATCCCATGGATGGAGGTAGTAGTTTTTAACGTGGCAGGAGCAGACGGCAGACCCCTGGTATTGGGGGAGGAGGTGGTGTGGACAACAAACTCGCTGAAATTTCTCAAGGAATCATTTCTATTTCACACTCCACTTGGCTGCTGATTTGAGATTGTGTGTTAGCATAACAAAGCCGCAGAGCCTGTGAACTTGGAGGACCTTTCGACCCCGCCGCTCTGGCGGTGAATAGGCTTTGGCTCTGCCAATAGAGCCCCTCCCTACCTCTCCTGTTCGTGGCTAAATTGTTAATCAGGGTAATTTAATATAGTTTTCAATATGCCTCATCTCTCGTTGGGGGGGCATTCACTGCTTCCCTCTCCGCCCCAACCGAAAAACACCCCGTTCTTTCATGCGGCCCCTCAGACGGGCAGCTGCAGTCTGGCCTCCTCTGCGTGCTAACAAAGCCGCCGAGCCTGTGAACTTGGGGGACCTTTCGACCCCGCCGCTCTGGCGGTGAATAGGCTTTGGCTCTGCCAATAGAACCCCTCCCTGCCTCTCCTGTTCGTGGCTAAATTGTTAATCAGGGTAATTTAATATAGTTTTCAATATGCCTCATCTCTCGTTGGGGGGGCATTCACTGCTTCCCTCTCCGCCCCAACCGAAAAACACCCCGTTCTTTCATGCGGCCCCTCAGACGGGCAGCTGCAGTCTGGCCTCCTCTGCGTGCTGGAGTGAGCTGGTATCATGCATTACTGCAGTGAAGTGGGGAGCGAGTTGAGGTGGACGTGAATGTGGAAACCTCTTAGCCTTGTCTGACTCTAAGAATGGGGGGGAGACTCTAGTGGGGTTTGAGACCGTGGCAGGACAATAGTCTGTCTCCGAAATGCTCTGCACACAAGCAGACAGCCCGTCCTAACCCTCTGTCCATTGAGATGTCCAGCTTTAATGCTCTCTGGATATGTTAAGCCATGGTTTAGCTTCCCCCATAGCTCATGGGAAAATATGAAAGGTGTTGTCGTTTTTCTTTAGATAAATTATATACACTTGCCAATTTAGTATAGAAATCATATGCCTTTTTATTCCTCCTTCAAAAAGTTAATACGCAATGTCCAAACTCTCTTTTATGTATTTAAAACAGCGAATGTGTTTATTGAAATCTTTTAAGACTCTGTGAAATCAAAATTACAGTTTAGTCCAAGCCTGTTTTATGGCAATATATATGCTAGTATACTTGATTAAGTAAACTAGACATGCATATTTACTTTCTCTTCAGGTAAAATATCTTGTCTGTAGGGGTGTATACATATGTTTTTTTCCCAATTAAATGCTCTCTATATGCTAGAATGAGTATGACCTCTTTTACTAATATATATATATATATATACACACACATACATACATATATACTGTACTGTATGCGTTCGTGTGTATATATATATATTTAAACATCATAAAAACACTGTGATTCATGTTTTATTTAGGTTTTTGCCCCACCCAGCATGCTTAGCAGCACACACACACACACACACATGTAATTTAATATCAAATTTTTATTGCTATTTTTATACATGTACTGATTACTGACTATATGTTGTTAAGTCATGATATAATAATGTAATAACATAATATATAACAAAAATCATTATTGTCAGACACCCATTAATGTGACAATTACAAAACGTGGTGAAAGTGATTTGTAACACAATGCAAATTTCTACAATGGTAACACACATACAAACACGTAAGACTTATCTGTAAACATGCCCCCAACGTTGCAAATCATGCTGGATAATTGGTGGGGCTATAGTATGAAAATTATCATTTGGAACATTGAGCCTTTTTTTGTTAACCTGAGGTGTGATTGTTCAGTGTCAATATAGAGGGGGGGGTTCATGATGCTTTAAATAGCCTACATATAAGCCTAAATATTAACTGCTAACATTTGTACAGTTCATAGTCAGATTTTACACCAAGCTGAAATAAGCTATTACGTTTGGACTTTTCCTGAAATACAACAAATGTGTTCCACTTTAGAACTTTTAGCCAGATAAACATGTTCAAAAACATAATTATTGCAGTAATGCACAAAGACAAAACATGCACACATTTCTCCAGAGACGGCTAATGTGCTGCTCACTGCTGGCTTCTCCATTTATAAGAGATGTAAGCTAATTACTGGAAGAGCACTGTTAACTTCTGCTGGTTATTTGATCATTATCGGCTTGTTTAGAGTTTAATGAGAGTAAATATAAGTACCGCATACAGAAACACTGATTGGACAGGCACAGTCTTTATGAAGAGACATGATGGTTCTCCTCACCTGCAGGCTGTGGAGTAGATTGTGAATCACACTAATTCATTTCAGTGGCACCTCGTCTAACAAGGGCCTCCTGCGAGGATGAGAGGAGGCTGTTAACATGACCAGCGTCCACTCACAATACTAGAGCCCTCAACTCAATGATGCTGATACTGGCCAATCATTTATAATGCTGTGTTAATTATATAGGTATCCATTTTCATTTTAATGACAATATTTTGAATAGCTTTTACTGGTTTTCCAACATTTTTTAAGTCAGTATGTAGATTTTTTTCCATATCTTGTCTACCACAACACAGTCATGTTTCTAAAAGTTTATGTAAACAATTATTTTATTTGCCGCACAATTTGAAATACATTTTTATTTAAAGCTTAAAGAGCTCCAAAACATTTAGCAGATATATGCATTTAAAAATGTTATCTTCTGGTAAAAAAAAAAATGAATGGAATAAATATATATGCACATTTTTGTCCAATCAAACTCTCTAGAATAAGAATGCCACTCCCCCTAAATAACCTGAATATGATTAGCAAAACAAAGTAGCAAAACATGATTTTACCCACTATTTATGTAAACTAAAGGCTTTTGCTTCATTGGGTTTTGTAACATCATGTGTACTGAGGTATGAGGGCTACACTCATATCATTCATTCATGCAAACTGACATGCTTTTATGATCTGTGATATTTGGACCTTTGAGTTGATAGATTGAGACACACACCTGAACAGTGGCATAAAAATCGAAACTTGACATATTTTGTTCAAATATAATTGTTTATTTAAAAATGTGTAAATCTTTATATATCATCATAAAAATATACATGCATATTAAAAAACATTAAAAAAACAAGCATATGCATTGTGTTAAATATAACATATGTCTCCAAAGTCTTCAAACCTTCAATTTCTAAAATATTGGTAAATATATATAAATATAG